CTTGTGAGCCAGCTTCCATCGGACTCTTCTAAACAAGTGCTGTGCTTAATTGACAATTTCCTTTTAAATGATATGTCCCTCTAAAAAAAAGAAAAACAAAGTCCCTAGGCTCACCACATTTGCAATAATTTGCCAGATTGCTAATGTTTACATAAGGGGTTAAAGATGGTTTATAGATGACGTACGGAAAAGAAAAACTTGCAAACAAAAGCTTAAATTCCCATTTGCCAGTTTCAGTACATAAGCTGCTACAGTCGATGGTCATAGTGTACACACAATTAGTGTGCCAGCATAGTGTTATGGTAATGTTTAGTGTTCACAGGCTCACTGACAGATAACTATGACATGGTCTGCTTTTCAAGTTAACTGTTTGCACACTGCAAACTTTCCTTTTTCCCCCTGTCCCAGCAATGTTTGCTTTGCCTTGTGCATCCAAGATTTCCTAGAAGAGTATGGGGCACCCACTGCACAGTCAGAGCCCCTCAAGGAAAGATGAAGCTAGAGGAAAAGAAAACTCACCAGTTTTTCATCCACAGTGATGAGTTGCGTGTCTTGACTTTGGGTCTGTGCCAGCCTCCATGTGGAAGTGTTCAGTGACCTGCAGTGCAAAACACAAAGTTAAAAAATGATTCATGCATAAAAAAAAAATAAAAGAAGATAAATCATATACAAAAAGTTAACTTTAACATAATCCTAGTAAAAAAAAATGGAAAGGAAGAAAGGCGAAGGGCACCAAAATTATTTTTTCTCCCCAATTAGTTCTGTCTGCTGCGTTCTTGGCAGGCTCCCACTAAGCAGTTTACAACAGGCTGCACTTTATGTCTGCTACAGGCTCCCCATAACACAGATAGACTGCCACTGGCAAGTACTGTACTGCTCTATGTGAATGTACAGCAGCAGACTTGTCACGAACAGACAGACGAACACAAAGCTGCAACAAGCATGGACCCAAAATGATGGCATCAGAGGTGAAGAAGAACTAAATCAAGGCAAGCAAAAGAAAGCCCTTGTTCAGTTGTGTTAGCTGCATGGCTTGAGACAGATACTGCAAAACCAATCCCATCTAGGACTTCTTATTCATGCTCTTTTCTGATACAAGCAAATCTACTAAGGGAAAGTCCTAATCAAAGAAAACTTTTTTTTTTTTTTAAACCAACTTCAGTTTAGAATGAAGATTCTGCTTGATAATCAATGACTTCATGATTTGCTGCTGATGGGCATTTTGAAAGCATTGCTACTGTGACAAAATGCTTGTTTTTGAAATTTCATTATTTAGGACCTCCCACCACACACTAAATAGGGTACCTCAATGGGTTGTGGAAGCCCTGGATATACTGTGAAAGGCCCAGGGGGCAGCCCCAATGCGGATTTTTTAGAATTTGAAAAATGCTTTTTGCAGGCTACCTGGCTGCCTCAGTGGCCAATCCTAAAGTCAGTGTAGCCCAGCCGAAACAAGTCTCGAGTTCGGATGTTCGTAGTTGGGGCTATAACTGGTGACAAGACAGCTGTATTTTAAAAAAGATCCTGCGAACTTATCCATTCAGGGCATAGTGACAGAATCTGTTAAAGCAGTAGTAAAATTCCACAAAAAAAATTAAAAAATGTTCTTCTTGCAAGGTAATATCATAATGTGCTAGTATGCATCGCACACTAGCACATTAAGAAATAATTAACTGAAAATGAAGCCCTCCAGTGGCACAGTTGACAGGGCTTTCCATCTTCACCCGATCTTCCTTCTGGGTTCGCGCGGACTTTGACTGTTTTAATGGTCAAGCCACGATGACGTCACTCCTGCGCAAGTGCATGGGAGTTTGGGCTCGTTCACATTTGACTTTATTTCTAACTCTTGTCAAACGCCCTTATAGCGTTTGACATGCGTTAGACAGGCATTTGGGAAGCATTTTTAACGCTCCCCAAATGCCCTATTTGCAGTTTTGAGGCATTTGATAGGCGTTTGCCAAGCGTTAAAAACGCACCACAAACGCCTAGAATGAAGTTAAATGGTATTAAACGCTCCACAACCGCGTCGCAAATGCCTGCCAGGCGTTTGAGAAGCGGCACCATAGACTTGAATGGGAGGTTTTAACTCATCCTGACTTGACATGAGGCATCAGTTTTGCCACGACGCAACAATGCGACGCTAATGCTTCAGTGTGAACAGCACTGTGTGATGTCATGTGCAGATATTTCATAGGCGTTTGAGCAGCGTTAAAAAAGCTTCCCAAAGGCCTGTCTGACGTCTGCTGACAAAGCTAGTGTGAACATAGCCTAACAGCCATGGCATAAAGATCTGAAGGGACGGCATGAATATGTCAACCCTTTACAGCACATGTGTCGGTGACGTCACCAGCTGAAGAAACAAAGAATATATCCTGAACAGTGCAAGTTTAGGAGATACTCCTTGTACCTACAGGTAAGTTTTATAAGCTTACCTGTAGGTACACGTGTCTCAGCAGTGTTTATCACCGCTTCTAAGGGCTACCGTACACGTTACAATCTGACCATACAATCTTTGTACAGCCAACATTGGTAGATCAGATTGTAACATGCGCAGTGAGCTTCCAACTCTTCTCTCGAACACCTCCTACTCAGCTCTACAGTGCTCCCCCACCTTTACATCTTCTGTGGTACTTCTTGGTCTTTGGGAGCCTGTGAGCTTCTAAGCCTCTAAGCCCAAGCAGAATCAAATGTCATGGCAGCAATGAAAGGAGGAACGGGGAGGGGCTAGCATTATGAAAGGGAGTATAAGATGCTAAGATAATTTTTTTTTTTTGCCTGAACAAAAAAAAAGTATAGTTAAACTTTAAAGTGCAACTGTTTTCAACTTTTTTTTCTTAGTTTTGGATAGAGATGATAGAAATTAGATTTTTGCACTTTAGAGGATATCTTCTACTTCTTGTTGTGCCTAAGGGGCAGGAACTGAAGGGAAACCTCCCCAAAGGTACCATCTCTTACTCCAAAACAACAAAGAAAGTGTTTGCATTCTTTCTAATTTAACCTGCTTTAAGTTAGAAGGCTGGAATGTTGCCAAATCACTGCTAAGAGAACAGACTAAAACCCAACTTGAGAGATTTTGCTATGAACTTTGAGGATGAATTACTCCAGTGTCTGCACTTATAGAGATCGGTGATGGCTCTTATTAAAGCTCATATACTGCTTATTCAGATTGTAGAATTACTTGAATGTCCATAGTCTTGTTACAGCTTCACATTTACTTTCTCTCTAATAATAAAACTTTGAGCTGGCACAACAAGACCTTTTGTTCTGTATTCGGACTTAATTAGAGCTCCCATCAAGGTACAATTGGAAAACAAACTTACAGAAGAGTATACACTACTAAATTTTTCAAATTCAAATCAAAATGTTTCACATTTCAGATCTTCACCCAGCAGATAAAGCAAAAGTGGCTACAATAAATTCAAAACCCAATATAGCTATTAGGGTGCGACTAATATCTCTAACTTAAACTATGGTGCCATCTCTCAAAAATGAATGACTAAATATTTTTACACAGCTTTTATTTTAATGTCCTCTTAAAGCAATCTCTAAGTAAAAGATTAAAACACAGTTCTACACTCTTCTCAGTGTTGCCAGCAACAATATAAAGTAATAGAATAATAGGGAACAGAAGGAGGAGCTAATACAAGACACTACAGGCAATGCAATCTGCAAAAGACTCTGCAGTCTGAAGAGTTAGGCTGGCCATACATGTATCATTTTTTTTGTTCAACCAGCGGGTTGAAAGAAAAAAAATGAGCCAATTCCCCCCAGCCACACATTTGAGGTGGTGGGGGAATCCTTGCCATTGTAGTACCGTGTTCTGACAACAGGGAGCATTCCCCACTGTCAGAATACAATGATCAGTATTGCAGATAGCGGATGACAATGACCATTTAGAAATAAACCCAACAGTCTGGTTGTACATAAGTCGATCACAACCTTTATACTGGCGGATGATCAGGGCTTCTGAGGAGGACAACTCCACTTAAACAAAAACACCATACACCTGCCCTACACCTTCCGTCTCACCCCTGGTCCACCCCCATCCTGATCTCACTAAACTCCTTTTCTCTTAGATTGTAAGCTCCAAGGAGCAGGGCCCTCCTATCCCTCTTGTATTGAGCTGTATTGTTGCTGTATTGTCTCCGGTTATATTGTAAAGCGCTGAGCAAACTGTTGGTGCTATATAAATCCTGTATTATAATAATAATAATTTTCTAACTATACAACCTGCTCATCCCCCCTTACTCTAACCAATAAATTGTAGTACCAGCAAGTGTTGCTATTCCATTCATAATGCCAAAACATATTACAAGTACAATATACACTATATTGCCAAAAAGATTGGGACGCCTGCCTTTATACACATGTGATTTTTAATGGCATCCCAGTATTAGTCCGTAGGGTTCAATATTGAGTTGTCCCACCCTTTGCAGCTATAACAGCTTCATCTCTTCTGGGAAGGCTGTCCACAAGGTTTAGGAGTGTGTCTATGGGAATGTTTGACCATTCTTCCAGAAGCGCATGTGAGGTCAGGCACTGATGCCAGACGAGAAGGCCTGGCTCGCAGTCTCTGCTCTGATTCATCCCAAAGGTGTTCTATCAGGTTGAGGTCAGGACTCTGTGCAGGCCAGTCAAGTTCCTCCACCCCAAACTCGCTTATCCATGTCATTATGGACCTTGCTTTGAGCACTGGTGTGCAGTCATGTTGGCACAGGAAGGAGCCATCCCCAAACTGTTCCCACAAAGTTGGGGAGCATGAAATTGTCCAAATGTTTTCTTATGCTAACGCTTTAAGGGTTCCCTTCACTGGAAATAAGGGGCCAAGCCCAACCCCTGAAAAACAATCCCACACCATAATCCCCCACCACCAAACTTTACACTTGGCACAATGCAGTCAAGCAAGTACTGTTCTGGCAACTGCCAAACCCAGAAATGTCCTTTGGATTGCCAGACAGAAAAGTGTGATTGGTCACTCCAGAGAACATGTCTCCACTGCTCTAGAGTCCAGTGGCGGCGTGCTTCACACCACTGCATCCAACACTTTGCATTGCACTTGGTGATGTAAGGCTTGGATGCAGCTGCTCGGCCATGGAAACCCATTCCATGAAGCTCTCTACACGCTGTTGTCGTGCTAATCTGAAGGCCACATCAAGTTTGGAGATCTTTAGCTATTGACTCTGCAGACAGTTGGTGACTTTTGCACAGCATGCGCTAACCCTGCTCTGTCATTTTATGTGGCCTATCACTTCGTGGCTGAGTTTCTGTTATTCCCAGTTGCTTCCACTTTGTTATAATACTTCTAACAGTTGACCGTGGAATATTTAGTAGCAAGGAAATTTCACGGATGGACTTATTGCACAGGTGGCAACCTATCACGGTACCACGCTTTAATTCACTGAGCTCCTGAGAAGGACCCATTCTTTCACAAATGTTTGTAGAAGCAGTCTGATTGCCTAGGTGCTTGATTTTATACACCTGTGGTCATGGAGGTGATTGGACACCTGAATCCAATGATTTGGAGGGGTGTCCCAATACTTAAGGCAATATAGTGTATATACATTGATTACACAATGGTTTTGCACACAGCAGCCCGTATCCTTCTCTTCTCAGGTCCCCCACTGGCACTCCTGGCCCCTCCCTCCTGTTATGTGCCACATAGTAAATACCTTGCTATGGGGGCACCCGAGCTCCTGAGCCGCGGCTCTGCGTATCCTTTCATACAAAGAGCCACAGCTCAGCCCCACCCTCTCCCGATTGGCTCACTCGCTGCTGTCAATTAGGAGTGAGAGTTCCCGGAGAACAGAGGCTCTCATGGACATTCCTGAAACAAGAGGGAGCTCAGGAAAGTGTTGGGGGGGGGGGGCTACTACACACAGAAGGTTTTTCACTTTCAGGCATAGAATTAAACCTTGAGACTTTAGAACCACTTTAAACTTGGATTCATTTATAGATAAAATCTGTTAATATCAACATTGTAATAGCAATACAACAATAGTTATTTTTGATAAATCAATATAAGCTTACTTTAAAAAAAAACTATTTTCATGCTGTGATTGCTGCCTGTCTGCTGGCCATCTCTTTCCACAACTTCTCCTCTGCTGTTTACTTTCAATTTCTAAAGGAATACATATCCCATGGTACCTTGCTGCCTGCAAGCAGTGATTCCGGTACCGACTCTGCCTCCCAAAACTCCCCCTCTCTGTAGTTCTGAAGGCAGGCTCTGGGAAAGGTGTAACAGCACAGCAATGTACTATACTCACAGGGTATAGTCAAAATGTGTCACAGAATTCAAGGAAGTATATTTCTGGAATTCTTCATAAATTAGTTTTCAAACTTGAAGATCGTTTAGATTTATAGGTGTAGGCTAGAAATAACTGAAATACAATGAATATGGAACTGAATATATGGTTTTAAATTTTGACTAAAGACACACTGAGTCGTTATGTACTTAGCCCATCACAAATCCTGGAAACAAACTACAATTATCAAAATAAACCAACAAAATGACTTGAAATTTCAGACATCATAAAAAGTTACACTTTAATTAGAAGAAAGAGAGGATGGGTAAATGTGTAGTTCCTAATTTTGTTTCTTATTAAAATAAAGACTTTCATGTTCAGAGAGCAAGCAGTACAAATGGATGAATCATTGGACATGCACATATTAATTTCCTGAGGCGAATAATAAACTTTGTACGGGAAGAGTTCCCTAACCCAATTCAAAGCATCAAAGACGTCATCTGAGGTCCGACATCCGGAATACAACATGTGGATTTACAAACATTTATTGCATTAGATCACTGAAAATAGTGTTTTGTTCAGATTGTACATTTTCTTTCCCTGGAGTCCATTGAGGGTCACAGGAAGTTAATATAATGTCAGGTTACGCTGTCTGCTACAGGAATATTGGACACTGGCAAATAAAATCTGTAGGACAGACCAGGAAAAAAAACCCTCCTCTGCCCAGCATGCCTCAGTATGTAGCAAGCAGTACCAAGAGCATGATCTTAAACACAGATGTGTGGAGTCTGTGTAGAGACACACAGCAAGTCATATACTGTCAGGACACCCAAAAGCAGACTGAGGGGTGGGAAAACAGCAACATCAGCTAACATGAGCCACAAAACAGATCTAAGGGCTGCATGCAGCCAAAGAGCCATCTGAAATGCAAATGCCTGAATCGGACACTGAATAAGGCTCCGTGTACATGGGACACTTCTGAAAGATGGAAACTGCTGGAAAACGTAGGTTAAAAAAAGTCTATTTAGCCACGTTTGCATACCACGTTTATGAACGTTTGCATTTAGAAGTGTCTTTTAAAGATATCAGGAGACCTTCCAAAATGCCCAGAATGCACTGAAAACAGCAAAAAATTAAACTATTTCAGACATTTTGAGAGAAAAAGAGAGCAGAAGCAGAGAGAACAGTATTTGTTGAGGTTAGCTGTCTTTTTTTTTTTTTTTTTTTGTGGTGTTTGGATGTGTTCCAGCTCATTCTGTGCAGAAATTATTGCAGCTGTGTCTAACATTTTCTTTCATGCGAAACCTCAAAGTTTGGTGTATCAGGTCCATTTGAGTACCGGGAAAACAATTTGCTTGCATTCTTCATGATGAAAAAAGGCTCTGGACAGCATCTGGAAATGGAAGAGTTCAAAAAAATTTCCGAATGCAAAAGGTTATAAACATGGTTAGCCGCGTTTACAAGCGTTTGACGTTTGAAACGCTGATAAAATCCACTCCTGAACGCACGTCTGGTGCATTCAAAAAAACGACTGTAAACTCAACCGCCTGTCAATGACATAGTGTACATGGACACATAGGAAAACATTATAGAGAGTTCAAGGGCTGCTGAAAAAAAAAAAAAAAAGCGCCTAAATGTGAGTTTATCAGCTGCAGTGTACATGAAGCCTAATGCAGGCCATAGATGGGTCGAAAATCGGCCAATTTTTCTTTAAAGAAAATGAAAAATCGGTCGTTCAAGCGGCCGACGTTACCAGCAATGGTAAAAAAAAAAAAAAAAAAAAAAAAAAAAAAAAAAAAAATCGGCCGATTTTCATCCCGTCTACAGCCGGCAAAAAGAGTCCCTGCAGAGAGCTCCGCTATTTCTTTGACAGTTCCTTGACATTTATAGCGGTTGCAACAATGTATCTATTTGTATCCATTTAGGATACAGATGTTTTTATTTGGAAACAAATAGATACAATGTTGCAACACTTTTTGCCGGACTGGAATTCTTCTCCTCTTCTTCTTCATCCTCTTCTTTCTTTTCCCCATCATCCTCTTCTCCTCTTCTTCTTCCCCATCCTCTTCTTCATCCTCTTCTTCTCTTCCCCTTCTCCTTCTTCATCCTCTTCTTCTTCTCATCCTCTTCTTCTTCATCCTCTTCTTCTTCATCCTCTTCTTCTTCATCCTCTTCTTCTTCATCCTCTTCTTCTTCATCCTCTTCTTCTTCATCCTCTTCTTCTTCATCCTCTTCTTCTTCATCCTCTTCTTCTTCATCCTCTTCTTCTTCATCCTCTTCTTCTTCTTTTTGTCTTCCTCTTGCAGGTCACTGCTCATGCGCAGATTTTTTTATCGGTAAAAGATCGGCCGATTTGCCCACCATTGCCGCGGAAATCGGCCGATCGGCAAATTCGGCCGATTTTTTTCCAACTTTACCGATAAAAAAAATCTGCCAAAATACCGAAAAACAGCCCAACATTTAGCCCACTAACGATCCAAAAATCGGCCGATTTTATTTTCGGCCGAAAAATCGACCGATTTTCAACCCATCTATGGCCTGCATAAGGCAAAACCCCCTTCCTGAAAAGGGAACCTGCAACATAACCAGGAGGGAAGACACCTGATAATCAAGATCAAGACAAACCTGATCAACAAGAGAGGAATGACCTGACATAGAAAGTAGCATTTAACCACAGACGAAGCAAGATCGACAACCTAAACTCAACAAGCAGTGAAACAAATAATAACAAAGAAAAGACCCAAAACCAAATTTGGCTACCAAGGAAAAGGTTCCTAAAAGAAACATATCAGACAAGGAACCTGAAAAAAGTCCTTTCAAGTAGGCAGGTTCTCTACTAATTATTTTATAGAGTGATTCTTAAAAATATGTTAAGCACTAAACCGCGGCAATTGATACTTTTAAATATTCAATATTATATACAATCAGCTGCCACTTTAAAATGCCATGTAAAACTTATTCCAAAAAATACCACTCCTAATATTGGTGATAATTAGCGGTGCATTATATACAGTTGCAAGAAAAAGTATGTGAACCCCTTGGGATTACGTGGAGTTTTGCATGAATTTGGCATAAAATGTGCTCTGAACGTCATCTAAGTCACAACAATAGAAGAACACAGACTGCTGAACATAATACTACACAAACATTAGATGTTGCCATGGTTTAATTGCACATAACATGTAAACATTCACAGTGCAGGGAGGAAAAAGTATGTGAACCTTTGGACCTAATAACTGGTTGACCCTCCTTTGGCAGCAATAACCTCAACCAAACGTTTCCTGTAGTTGCAGATCAGACCTGCACAACGATCTGGAGTAATTTTGGACCACTCCTCTTCACAAAACTGTTTCAGTGTAGCAATATTCTTGGGATGTCTGGTGTGAATCGCTCTCTTAAGGTCATGCCACAGCATTTCAATCGGGTTGAGGTCAGGACTCTGACTGGGCCACTCCAGAAGGCGTATTCTGTGCTGTTTGCAGCCATTGGTTTGTTGAATTACTTGTATGCTTTGGGTCATTGTCCTGTTGCATCACCCAAACTCTGCGGAGCTTCAGATGGCGGACAGATGGTCGTACGTTTTCCTGCAGAAGGTCTTGATAAACTCTGGAATTCATTTTCCCATCAATGACAACAATCCGTCCAGGCCCTGAGGCAGCAAAGCAGCCCCAAACCATGATGCTCCCTCCGCCATGTTTCACAGTGGGGATGAGGTTTTGATGTTGGTGTGCTGTGCCTTTTTTTCTCCACACATAGTGTTGTGTGTTCTTCCCAAACAACTCAATCTTGGTTTCATCTGTCCACAGTATATTTTGCCAGTAGTGCTGTGGAACATCCGGGTGCTCTTTTGCAAACTTCCAACATGCTGCAATCTTCTTTTTGGACAGCAATGGCTTCCTCCGTGGTGTCCTCCGAATGTACTCCATTCTTGTTTAATGTTTTCCTTATTGTAGATGTGTCAACAAACATGTTAGCATGTGCCAGAGATTTCTGTAGGTCTTTAGCTGACACTCTGGGATTCTTCTTTACCTCATGCAGCATTCTGCGCTGTGCTCTTGCAGTCATTTTTACAGGACAACCACGCCTAGGGAGAGTAGCAACAGTGCTAAACTTTCTCCATTT